CACTATGGCGATCAGCTGAGAATCCCGCCAACACTGAGGGGGTGCTATCGTCAGAGAAAAATGAAATAGAAAAAAGGACCTGGTACCAAGAGCGAGTTGAGTTGAGCTGAACTATGCAGTGGAAATGAGACAACAGAGAAGTGGCGGCACATTTGGTGCTGACAGTGACAGCAAAGATGAAAGAAACTTGGCGATATCTGTGGTCGTGGCTCTAAAGCAGTGGTCCTACAACGCGGAGGTTCAAGGATGGAGGCTGTCACGTTCTTGGGATCAAAGACAGCCTGGGATAAAATTCTGACAGTGTCAGGAATTTGGGATGACCACCTCACTGTGTGACTACCGTTACCACCTACGTCTACTAACCAACCAATAGAAATGCAGCATGAAATGTCCCACACAAACAGACGGATAGCAGCTCGCCATGGAGGCAAAACACGCGAAAATAAATGTGTGTGATTCCAGCAAAGAGGAAAACCTTGTGAAGCCTTGTCTGTATGATGTGTCCTCCAGCTCTGACCATGATCGCGTAAAGAAGTATGAAGCATGGAAGGAAATAGAGGCGGAGCTACAGCTGCCAGGTGAGACACCTAGCAGCTAGCAAACACACACACACACACACTGCAGTATATAGTGCCCACAAAACTTCAGGTCATTTAATAATGTGAGCCTCTATGTTGTGCTTCACAGGTGGAGAAGAATAGCTATGGGAAGATATCGCATCGTCAGCGTAGCCTGTGATTCAGTAGGCGCTGTCATCGTACAGTCTGCAGACATCAAACTTAATGTTGTATCATGGTTATTAGATCCATGTGTAGCTGCACTAAAATTATAAGACTGATAAAATCTCAGTCTGTCGGCTTTAAGCAAATGGAGCGGCTTGGGGTGTCATCACACACCTCCCATGTACCTGCCATGTCCCCAGTTTGATTCCAGCCTGTTGCTGTGTGTTGAACTCTCAACATGTTTCCTGTCTCTTCCTAAACTGTCACTTCCCAAACACAAAGAGACACCCTGAGCCCGCTCCAGCAGACAGAGCGACGCAGTAAAAAGCTCCCAAAGGTCAAGAATTAACTTCTGAGCTCAAAGACTAGAAAGCGCTCTTGTAGCTTTTATCTCCAGACAAGAAACAGTCTCGCTCTCTAAATTAAAACCATGCTTCTGAAATATATCTGAGCAGGTTGGACAGCAGGTTAAAGTTAAGACTCCTTTTAAGGTCGTAAAACTCTCTTAGCACCTAGAAAGCACCATGACGGTGCCCGATAACTTACACTGCACGCAGAATACATGACACCGTCCCATGACAGACAGATCCCAGCTTTGATTCGCTGCAACATCCGACGTTTCCTGTGTCCAAACATTTTGTCAAAGTGTTCAACCATCACCAAACTTCAACCTGCACTTCCTGTTGCATCTCCTAGCAGACTCTGACAGGAAGAAATAACAACCAACACATTTTTGGATGAGGCCCAAATTTAAGTGTCCAGCTGAGAGGACTTTAGAGAGGCGTCCCACTTCGACACAAAACACACTGTAAACTATTGTATTCTCTTGTGTTGTGTGTTCCAACCTGCCCCCGAAATATTCTTTATCTGGCCAATCGTGCCCTCAGGCGTGTGTGTGTGTGTGTGTGTGTGTGTGTGTGTGTTTCCAGTGGTGGTGATTTATAGTGATCTGTGGTGCTCTAAGGTTTCAGCCCACAGAAGTGTGTAATGGGTCTTAAACTGGCCGACACCCGATCGCCACGGATCATCTGCTGCCTGACAGGCATCCACCTCCTCTGGAACACACACACACACACACTCTTCTCTTTCTCTCACTCAGTTTTCATACACAAACATTTTCCTTCTCACACTCACTGTCCCGTTCACACACACATAAACAGATTTCACTCACTCAGATACACATTTCTGTAACAGCTTATCTGTCCTGACACCAGCATCTGATATCTGACGTTCTCCTGGCGCGATGAAATCTCAGGTTGAGTTTTCCCTGTGTTTTTAATATAACTCACAGTTAAAGTCACCGTCTGAAGTTTGTATTTCTGATATTTATTTCTCAGCAGGAGCTTGCATCCCTCCAGCTGTAATGATTCTGTCACTGCTGATGAGACACTATGAGATAAGCGTGAAGGGCAGGCCGACACTTCAACATCTACTTTCTCCTGTCAGGAGTTTATTCACTTTAATACAGGAAGTTCAACTTCAGACAGAACCAGTCGCTTATAATCCAACTACTGGAATTTGGACAGACACAAACACAGCTCAACAAAAAGAAAAGAGGAATCACTTTGTTACAGGAGCTTCCTAAACTCTGCAGAACACAGAGAGCCCAGACTGAAGCCACCAGCTCTGTAATTACACTGGAAAATAGATTTGTTGTTTAGAGAAATCTGCTGAGCTGTATCCCCGTTCACACACAGGAGACATGACGGGAGGTCGCTCACTGTGAACTGAACCTCAAGAAACATGCTGAGCAACCCTAACTCCTTAAAGACTTTAGGAAGATGACAACCTTATGATAACATCCTCTGATTAGAGCTGTGCCACATCCTCTCGTTTATGATAATACCGGTATAATTTTTGATATGACATGAAAAATTCACATACTCGCAATATTTTGACTTGTTGACAGACTGACATCATACTGTTACCCACGGCAACAACAAGCATGGCTGAAAGTTAAGTTATTAACGACTCCACGGTGGTTCCAAAAAGAGGAGCAGCTTCAGTAGTGTGGAATAAACTGTGGCGTCCTGAATGTTTTACTTCTTAGACTCTTTTAGTGACTTACCGCTCAGAGGGAACTCATTCAGCGTCTCCTCTGGCAGCAGCACAGCGTCTCTCCCTCTCCTCTCTCGCCGTGCGCACACGGGGGTCAGTGTGGTCAAGTGATTTTGTCATAAACCTTTGGTAATGTAAACCTACGTGTGAGTGTGTGATAATTGTGGTATCATAACAGCCTGTCACAGGTTACAGCCTGATGATTAAAGGAGAAATGGCAGAGCATAAAGGTCCAGGTGGAAAAAGCAATCATTTAGGATTATACTAAAAGAAGGAAATCAGCTGTTGATTTATTTTTATAGATCCCAGGGGACACTTTTTAAATGTGTAATTAGTGGCAGGTTTTATTTAGATGAACTATTTATATTGTAACAGAATCTGAATCTCACTCTGAGTTACTGCTGTTGTTCACAAACTAACGCCGAACGCCGTGCATCAAAATATACGCCCTAATTATTTTCAATGTACAACTCCACACTGGTGGCAGCTGGACGCGTCTTGGTGCTCTTGGATGTGCTGCCCTGTGGCACTTAACACCACTGTCCTATTTCCTGCCCTTGGAATAAAATACATTTTTCCCCCACTCACTCTTCGCTTGTACAGACCAGTTCTCACAGCAGCTCTTCTCTCTGCTCCTGTGGCAGCTCCACTCCTCTCCTCACCATGGACGTATAAAGAGAACTCTGTAGCTGGTGCTGTTTCTCGTGTGTGACAAAGAATGGATGAGGAGAGACTCGTCGACTCAGTGGAGAAATATCCCGAGCTAAACGACCCACATTCCCGTCATTATAAAGACAACGGCCAAAATAATTTTGCCTGGCGAGTCACAACTCTTGTGTTCAGCTCTTCAGGTGATAAATCAAGTTTAATCAGAGGCTGTCCACACATGATTTCAAGATAATGCAAAGGTGGAGGAAGTGCAGATCTTTCAGTAAAAGTAGTGGTGCAGGTGTGTTTCTAGCTTCAGGGTGACAGCGGCATTCATGTAATATTGTAAACAAGCTAACGGTGCTAACACAGATCGTTAAGGTGCAACAACATGTTTTGCAGACACCAGATATCAAACAAAAACCAACCAAGTGTCTGTGAGCGGGAAATTCACCACTTCCAAGCACAAGAGAGACGATAATGTTCTCTTGGAGCCTTATGGTGGAAACTTTCTCCTCCTCTGTGCCGCTGCAGCTTGTTCATAACTGTCTGTACCAAAGAGTTGCATGAAGGTCAAGAGCGCTCACTCTGCAGCAAAATCTGGGGACCAAAATGTCATAAGAAGTACACTGCACAGCACGCTGACAAGCAAACAAAACAAAGCAAAACTAAACCACTGCTTGACTTGAGGCGATCTCAGTCGTCTGAGGGGTCTCTGACTGACAATTCAAATCTCCACCCTGTTGGTATCAATAAAATCTTATCAGTTTCCATCCCTGTGGAAAATGATAAAAACATAATGAAACTAGAAAAGCACTTGGAGAGCGCAGACCTCCGCCAAGCAGCTTGGATTTCCCACCATTTTATTATTTTATCCACTTCGCTTCAACCGATCACCACCAAAATTGTATCATCTGTTCCTTGTCCCATTATCAACCTTTCCGGAAAATTTTATCAAAATCCGTTCAGAACTTTTTGAGTTATTTTGCAGACAAACAGACAAACAAACAGACAAACAGACCAACGCCAGCAAAAACATAACCTCCTTGGCTGAGGTAACCAGTTCTGTTACCAAAAGAAAGAGCTGACGCCAACAATCACTGAACCTGCTGAAGGATTGTTTTTGTAATTCAGCCAAATATTTGTGATGAAGCATTTAGTAACCCTCATGACAAATCTGTTCACACCCCTCCTCTCCCTTGAAGGCATGTTCACACCATCCAGCCATGGTGAAGCTGCTCTGTTGAGCTTTGGTGCGTTAACTATTTAAGTTTGGTTCATTTGGCAAAGTCAGAACTCAGGTGGACCCAAATAAACCAAACAGTTTGAAATGTCAGACCTTCACCAAGAGAACAAAATCTGCGTACATGTCTGCGTCTTGGTACCTAAACCATTTCAGAAGTATTTAAATGTTAAATAACTATTTCTATTTATCACCTGATTCTAATCCTTTGACCTGGAGTGTATCTAAGGTTAAAGTGAAAGAGTTACAGTCTTAATCTGATTCATTCAGTCCACACAGCGACTGTTTAATCAGATCCTGTGGTTCTGTGAAGGTCGGAGAGTGTCTACCTGACTCGTGGTCCCGTATGCAGTAGTCCGGTGAGTCTTCAAAGTACACCAGGTCGTTCTTGCTGGGTCGTTTGAAGTGTGTGTGTGCTGCGGTGAACCCGGTGCCGTACTGGTTGACGACCACCTGGACAGCGCCGTTATACCTCTTGCGAAGGTGGTCGCCAGTGCGTCTGAAGTCTGACATGGCCAGCCAGCAGGTCCGGATGCTGCACGACCCGCTGACGCCGTGACATTTACACTCCAGAGTCATGAAACGCTTCACCGCCTGAAGGGGAGGAAGAGGAGAGAGCAGAAAAGATTCTGTGTAATGTGTAAGTAAAAGTGTAATGTAAAATAGAAACCTGGACTGACTGTACAATGCAAATAATCCAAACTATGATTTTTACCCTCATTTAAACACTATGTTTAATATAGCAGCTTAGTTTTTGTTCAATGATCAGTTTCCAAGATTGATACCAACACTCTTAAACTTAAATCTGTCTTTATTTGAATATTTTATTCCCAATCATTTCAGTGTTTCTCCCAGACATCATGTTGAGGTGTAAATCTGTCATTTCCCACACTGGTTCAGAGGATAAATTATGTGAAGAAAAAATATTTCATAAATTTCTCACTTTGTAACAACAAGGAATTTGCAAAAATGTGTTGTTTAGGAGTGACAACTGCACATTTATTTTTTTATTTGTGCTTTTAAAATCAGTATTTGGGGTTCTCACACAGCAGCAACAGACTTTGAATGCCGGATTTCTCTTTTTTCCTTCCCAAAATGCAGACTGGAAGATTAATTTGAGCACTACATCTGAAGGTCAAATGCAGGCAAGACTCCATTTTGAATAAAAAACAACCAGCTGATGTTTTAAGTATTTTTCTACTCTTGAGGCTGTTCTATGTTTTGGCCAAAATCTATCAGAGTTGTTAAACTGATAAAAAGTTTGTGTGAACATGTCTAGATTTGTACAGTTATCATTCTAATAAAGCTCAGGATTTTAACTCTTTTTGTCCAACAGTGGCTGATGAACTGCAAACTTTAAAGGAGCAGTCAGTGATTCTAATCTGATACACTTTTTGTCACACGCAGCAGATACCTCCTCACGCTCTGCTGGCTGTCTGTTCTGTGTGCGCTGAAAAAAAAGGGATGATTTTACACACCCTGGCCTGTAAGTGTGAAACAAACAAAGAGGCTCAGGCCGAGTCGAACTATTCCATGAAATCAGCAACCCACTACACCTTTCCCTATCCACTTCCACTACGTTTTCATGTTCACGCGGAGGGTCCACTACATTCCCACACCACAGACTCCAACAGCGAGTCTGCACCGATGCTGACTAACTGACCATGTGCAACACATAAAAAGAACAAAAATGGGAGTGGTTTTACTCTTCTCCATGGTAACCAAATATAGCGACAGCTCCTTTTTCTACTGCAGAGAGGGAAGTGCGTCCCTAAGGCTGTCACTGTATTTACACCCTTGCTAGTTGTTTGGGTGTTGAGATCAAATATCTTTCTCCAAATTCACTGACTCCTCCTTTAACAGCAGCTTTCACCATTTTAAAACCAAAGTGTTGTTTCAGAATTAAAAACCATCTCTGAAACGTATCTGATCAGCGGACTCCTTTATGTGACACACAGGTGTTAAGAACAATGATTGGTGCCTCCTCACCTTCCTGCCGGCTCTGTTGTTGTGTAAGTTCATGAGCGCCCGGGCGTCCCTCTCCTTCCTCTCCTTGGCATCCACAAAGCCCTGGCTGAAGCGCATGGCGTGCTCCACGTGGTCGCTGCAGCCGCCCCAGTTAAAAGAGCCCTTGGCGTCCCTTGACGAGCCTTTCTTTGTGGGATCGCAGGAGCAGGAGTCCAGGTCGCCTTGGCTGCAGGCTCGAGCCAACGTGTAAACCACGCCGGCCGAGGAGATGGCGTACATGAAGGCCACCTCGCGACTGCCTGAAGAGGAGAGGACGAAATGTTACAAACAAGGAGGCAAACGTCTGTAATGAAAGGCACGTCTGTTCACAGAGGAATGGGATTTACTTCAAACTCTTAATGAGTAGATTAATAATAACTTAATATAAGCATAAACATAAAAACAGCAACAATCAGCATCAAGCTTTGAAATCCTGAAAAAGTCACATCTTAGCAATCTAAAAAAAACCCCACCTTTTTTTCATTTTAAAGACAGTTTGTCATTGTGTGTGTGTGTGTGTGTGTGTGTGTAAATGGTGTTCATAGTGCAGTGTGCTCTGAGTGGTCACTATTTTTTTCTTCCCTGTGTGTTGTCATGTATCAGTCTATGTCATCTCTTTAAATCCAGAGGTTTCTGTGGGTCTCTGAACGCAGCACAGGCAGAACTCTTCATGACTACATTTGTAGAGCAGTTTGTGGAGTTTTGAGTTGCGGGACGGATAACTGATCAGTCGATCAGATCAGAGCTGATCAGATTGATGGATGAGAGGAGCAGCTGCTTGTGAGTGAAAGCAAACTTTTAGACTTGGCAGAATGAAGTTTCACTTTCACTACGCCTGACGCTCTGCTGCTCCGTCTGTGCCTAGAAAATACTCTGCACCTTGAGAGTGTGGAGCAATGAATAACCGAACAGCATGTATATATTTCCACAGCGCCTTTATTGAACAATCCAGCTCCAAAGATAGAAAATCAAACCGTGGTGGTAGATGTTTTAATTGTGGCGAGCCGCTCCAAATAAATGAATGTGTGGGAAACCCTGGACGCAGTAGAACATCCTGGTATTTTTGGCATACTGTCTTGGGACATACGAAATTCTTTTCTGGCATACTAAATAGTATCTTCTCCAAGAATCCGCACTTTAACGTGGTGGAAGGGTTTGTGTGTCCCCGTGATCCTGGGAGCTGTGTTGTCCGGGGCCAACAGCCCCTGGTAGGGTCTGCCAAGGCAAAGTGGTCTCAGGGAAGGGGCCAGATTAAGAGTGATTCAAGGAGACCTTGATGACTTGACACATCAGACTTCGAGTACCTTGCCCGTTGTGGGGATACTGGGCCCCCCTCCCCGAGAGCCAGACCTGGGGGCAAAGCTCACCAGGGAGCGTCTGATGGCCGGGCCTTGGGCAATGGGACCTGGTCAGGCTCAGCCTGAATAATTCACATGGAGCCGCAGCCCTGTCGGCCCACCACCCGCAGAGATAGGAAACAGGGTTAGGTGCAATTTATGCCCGACGGTAGGCAGGGGCGGGGCCTTGGGTATGTCGATCCCTGGCCAATGCAGACTGATGAGATCGCGGATACAAGTAGCCGAAATGAGTTTCCTCTGTAGCATGTCTGGGCTCAGCCTTAGAGATAGGGTGAGGAGCTCGGAGTAGAGCCGCTGCTCCTTCGTCTCGAAAGGGGTCAGCTGAGGTGGTTCAACATCTGATCAGGATCCTCCTGGGCGCCTCCTGTTAGAGGTGTTTGGGGCACGTCCCACAGGTAGGAGGCCTGGGGTCAGACCCAGAACACACTGGAGGGTTTATATATCTCATCTGGCCTGGGAACGCCTCGGGGTCCCCTAGGAGGAGCTGGAAAGTGTTGCTGGGGAGAGGGACGTCTGGGGTGCTTTGCTTGGCCTGCTGCCCCTGCGACCCGGCCCCAGATAAGCAGATGAAAGGATGCAATGTATAGTATGGTAGTATGGGTATTGACATGCACAGTATAGTTAGGCATAGCAATGCTTTGAGCTAGATGATGTCAGCACACTCACAGTGACAACACTAAAATGTTGACACCAAGCAGGTATACTTTTTACCATGTTTACAATCTTAGTTCAATGTGCTTGATATCTTAATATTTTCTAATTGACCCACTAAACGCAAAGTACAGCTGTAGCTGAGGGGATGTCATGAGTTCTGCAGGTATTTGGTCAGAGAGTAAAGTATTGGATAAATTCCACGGAGCCATGCAACCAGTGTGGATAAAAACTGCAGAGCTACTCACTGAGATCATCTCTGTCCAAATACCATAAGTTCAGCACAGTTACTGTTCCATTTCTCTACATCACTGAACTCCTCTGCTGTGAGCTGCAGAAGTTTTATCTCTTATAGATCTTAGATCTTGCGTTTCCCAATTCAGGCAACATTAAGCCACGACAAACAGAGAGATCCTTCAAATGTTTGGCCACCGCTGCTACCTGTATGACCCGTGTTGTTGTTGTTGCCTGCTGGAAGCTTTTATTTCATGTGAGGCATGAAATAAAAAAACGCTTCATCTCCCTCCAAGATGAACAAACAGCAAACGTTTACCAGCAGTGCCCTGACAGAGACCTCTTATCTCCCTCCACATGTCGCTGATGAGAGATCTGAGAGACATCAAAGGCCGAGGCAGAGAAAGTCTGCGTCGCTAACCTCTGCTACAAAATTATGACACGTTAGAAGGCACACAACGACAGCAAGCGGATATTTGACGTGTTCAGAGCTGCAAATAATCATCATTTGTGTTCATTAGCTATAAACTGAGTTTTTAAAATTCATACATTGTTTTATCTGTAAAATCTCTGAAGAAGATGAGAGACGTGTCAGATGAATCAGTCATTAAATCTCTCTACACTCAGAATCTAGATAAGGGAAGAAAACAGCTGCGAAATATACTCAAATTAAGTCTGTTGTGGGCTATTATTGCCCAGGGTTTTGTCTGTCAGACTACAAACAGGCTGTCCTCAAAAGTAGGGTCCGCCACATTGAGTGCCTTCCCAAACCATCAAGTGAGGACTGGAGGTGAGGTATTAACCCTCTGACAATGAGCCTGCACCGATGCTGACTTTCTGACGATGTGCAACGCTGTATTGTGTTCGCTTCCTACAGATAAAGTTCTGCGACTACCCTCACAAACATAACCTGCTCAAACTAAGACATACATTTATAGGTCTGTTGTCATTTCAATTTATCAAGTTATTTATTTCGTTTAATAATAAAAATGTAATAGTAAAAATTACGGTTAACAGCAACAGCACATACAGATTAAATGTAAGTGCTACAAATACATGTGAAGAACATAAAATGGATTAAGCTTTATTTTTCTCTGTGGTTTCAAAAAGTTGTGACAGTTTTCTTTCTGCCACAGAGAGGGAAGTTTTTTCACTCAGCTGTGAAGGTGACTACAAAAGGAGTTCGGTTTTGGAAAGGCCCCTCTCATTGAGGACACACAGTGACCTGAGAGAAACACCTGCAGACTGTTTCAGGGCCAGAAAAACAACTTGTTTACAATTAAACTTCAGTCAAAGACGAGGTAAAAGGCAGCACTGATTTTAGTAAAGACACAAAAACTACATTATCTGCCATCAATTACAATTACTGTGATTTTTAGAAGATTTATCAACTGCCGTATTTCTGATTCTCTTTTGTTAGACTATCATTATGGAGAGAACAATAATTTTATCATCATGAATCATTTTCTAGATCGGTATATACTTTAATAAATGCAACAAATAATGTCCTTATAGTTTCAGGTTTTAGTTCATTTTTTAATTCAAGAGTTAGTGATGTCATCGCATCCTTGAAAAACAGCAAAAAAAAAAAAAAAAACTCAAACAGATTAAGTTCAGTTTTTTTTGGACGGACCAAATGTACAGAGCTGTAAAGTTGTCCACCATGGTACCAGTTAGCTGCTAGCTAACCGTAGCTAACTTGTTTGTCCATTGTTTGGTCTGTGACGTAATAGGTCAACAGGAAAAAGGTCCAATACTAACAAGCTGAAAGGGGGCATATCTCCACCTGTCGTAGAGGAGTCGCACATACTTGGGTCAATAAATGGATTCCCCTCCTGTGCTTGTATACTGGGACAAGGACAGTAGGCCAGTTAAATGTCCTCGTCCAGCTGTAACTGTAGCTCCACTTCACTGTGTGTGTAAACACAGTGGGTCTCATTCATGAAAAGTGAGTAAATCTGAGTAGATTTGCACATAAAAGCCTATGCTACTAAAAACCTACTCCGGATTCAGGAACGCCGCGGGAAACTCAGATTTGATCGTAAACATGTGTGTATGATCTTGAATGCCAATCCATTGTAAAGTGACAGTTCGCTCCTGGTAATCAGCAATTAGTATAAATCCCCGCCCATGAATAGCCAATGACCACCATATAAGGAGGTGTAGGTGCATCCTGTCGACCTGTCAGTCATGGCGCAAAGAAAGAAAGAGAGAGAAAGAAAAAAGAATTTTTCCAAAGCGGAGATCGAAATAATTTTGGGTGAAGTGGACTTAAGAAAAAAACATTTTATTTTCTTCAGTTAGTGGTGTGACAGGGACAGGCTAAGCGAAGGCCTGGAGGAAAGTAACAGATGCTGTTAATGTTGTCTCCATGGTACAAAGAACCATGTCAGAGGTGAAGCGTAAATGGTTTGATATGAAACTGGAGGCAAAGAAACACATAAGCACACACACAAAAATGCAGCGGTCACCAAACAAACAGAAGATTCATTTGTGGGGTTTCGAATTAAGTGGGAACGGGAAACCAGAGATGTTTTGTGCATAATGGATAAACTCTAAATCAGTGATGGCTGTTGGAATTTAGAGCTATTTAACATTTATTTTAACAAATGATATGAATAACATATAGCCTACAGCAGTCTGTATGCATCGTCCTCAAATTATTTGAATCTTAATAGCCTAAAGCTCTGTTTTATACAACGTAAATTAAACAGTTTTCGAATCAGATTTATTCATTCAAATGATCAAAAAGCCAAAAAAACAAACAAACAAAAAAAAGTGTTGTCTCAAATAATTGGCGTGTGCTCCTTCGTGGCTCCACCACCTGCTGCCCCTGCTTAACCCAGGCACCGAGGCCGAAGAGGCTGTGATCCGGCTGTCCCTACGGATATTTTTATTATCATCATTCAACATGTAGAAAGAAGGTGTAATCTGTTGAGTCAGTTTGCATAGATAATTCACAATCATGAACCTAATCTGGATCTTAAACTTGCTAATTGCCAACTAATTTAACTAAA